GCGGTCCCCTTCGCCGCACGCAGAGATGCTAATCTGCCAGCGATGATAATTATAAATACCCCGGCTGCGTTAATAGCATTATGGGCTCAGAAAGAAAGGAGAAAGAAACAAAGTTGGGAGAGAATAAAAGAGCACAATAATAATCCAAAGCGAGTTTCTCTCTCTGCAGCAGTAGAAGTTGAGAAATATAAAGACCCCCCGGAATTCCGCCCTCTGATTATTGCAAGTATTTAAAAAATAAGAAAAAAAAGAAGCAGACGAAGAAGCAGCGGAGAGAAATCATGCCGTGTAAACATTCCAGTTGAGGCGGCGGCGGCGGAGTTGAAAAGAGAACTAATTAAAATAGGCTCTTTGCCGTGAACTCTTTCGCTGCTGCTTGATTGCAAGAGTTTAAGCTCTGAATAAATATAAAAGCAGCCGGCAATAAAAAACTTTTTCTTTGTTTTGTGTTGCTGCTCTCGAGAGAGAGAGGAGAGAGAGAGAGACTTTTGCTTTTTAAACACAAAGCAGCAGCAAAACTTTGTGCGCCTGTTTTGCCAGCATGTAACATTAATTAATGCCACCGTGTTTTATTTATGTGAATGTTTCTTTCGCCTCTTTATTTCTCTCTCTCTCTCTCTCTCTCTCTCTCTCTCTCTCTCTCTCTCTCTCTCTCTCTCTCTCTCTCTCTCTCTCTCTCTCTCTCTCTCTCTCTCTCTCTCGCGAAAAATGCTAATTTACGCTGCCACCCCTTGCCGAGGGAGACATAAAGAGACGCAAAATCGAGCAACACTAATTGCTAATTAATAATTCGCTGCTGCTTTTAAATCAGAAATTTTTCCAATTAATATCGTTCTTTCTCTTTCGAATTTTCCTCCCCCGATTTTTTTCCACCACCCCGAGCTCCCCTTTCCTTTTTTGTTCATCAATTGTGGTCATGGTTGCATTTAAAATTTCCCCTTTCGCCTGTGATGGATTAAACTTTCTTTCCTTCGCCTTTTTTTATCCGTGAAAGAGGCGCGGCTCTCCGTCGTCTCGGCGGCGGAAAAAGTATTTAGAGCCATTAATCTGCAGCGAGCAAAGTTTTTCATTTTAAATTTCGCCCATAAACAATGAGACAAATGGCGCAGACGTTTTTTTAATCCGAGACAGCGAACCGTTAAATAAAAAATGAAGAGAGCAGAGTAGGGTATTGATCGTTCCATCATAAGATTTTTAAATTTCTTTCACCCAACTTTATAATAAAAATAAATATTTTTTTTGAAAAAAGAGGGTCAATCACGTCATGATAATTTATGAAACTTTGGATTTCTGAACAATTCTTGAATCAAGAGTAACATATAAATCGCTTTTTTATTAAAATAATTAACTAGAGTTGTTGAAATTTTGTTCAAAATTTTAAATTTTGGAAGATTCAAATAATGAATTGTATTAATTTATATATAAAAAATTAATTATTTCATTGTTTTAGTTAAAATATAAAAGTTCCTTTTTAAATAAATGAAAGTAAAGTCTGAATTAACTCTTTTTTGTTATACCGAGCCGGGATAATGTGATCGATTTTCCCTTCCAGACATCCAATTCAGCATTTGGCGCGGCCTAATGTCCACTTGAAGGGTGCCGAATATGGGCGGCTCGGCAGCTCCCACTTTAAGCGCAGATTCGGGTGCATCACCCTTTCGGAGAGAGCCCTCGAAATTTAATAAAACCCTCGCTCGCTCGGCCACATACGTGAAATTTATTCCCAGCAGCAGCAAAATAAACAAAAACAAGGCGGCAATTCCCGCCAGAAATATTCAGGCAACGCAATTCGATAAACGCCGTGCGTGTCTAATTGTAAATAACAATAAAGTGGCACAATTACAAGCCAAACGAAGCGACCAACAGTCGAGAGTGATTTTGTACGTGAAATTCACACACGCAAACCGTATTGTGGCCTCATAAAAAAGCAGTTTGCATAAAAAAAAACGTGACGGGTGGTCAATTTAAGAAAAAAAAGGAAAATTAATCAAATAAACAGGAATTATATTTAAAAAATGTTTAATTAATAAAATATTCATGAAACATAAAAAGTTGAAGTAGATTATATTTCTTAAGAAGAAATTTGGGGAAATTTCTTGAAGAAAGATTTAGAAAATAAAGCAATGTTTGATTTAAAAATTAAAAATAAATAAACTTTTAATTTCAAATGCACTTTCATAAATAAAAACATGTTATTTCACCAAATTAATAGAAAAATTTTAACTTCAAGTTCGTAAATATTTAATTATTCTCATTCAATATTTTTTATTATTAATTTTTTTAATACGCTTCAGATTCATCAGCTTCAAATCTTCTCTATTATAAATTGACTACTGGAGGTTTGATGGATGTGAGCGCACACGTGTGTGTATGCGTTGCCGAAAAGCAAGGCGCGCAATATATAACGAAACACAAATTTGCATACGGTCGGGGGCACATATGTGTGTGTGTATGTTTTGGTTTACCGAGATGCATCGCCGTTTTCTCTGGCGCTGCCTCTCGCATTTATAGAGAGACGTACACACACACACATACTCTTCAACAACAACAGCAGCATCATCGGAGAGAGAGAGACTCTCTCTCGTGCTATTTCAGCCAAAATAAACACGTGGCTGTTTTCTTTGTTCCGCCAAACTAAACAACCAAGCAGCGGCGGGAATCTAAACAGCCACAGAGCGGCGACCAGGAGAGTCCCAAATTCAATTTCGGCCCCCCTCCTCTCTTTTGCCAGTTTGCTTACCGCACGACACATCATCATCATCATCAGTTGACGGCGGAAAAGCCACTTCGTTGCGCCGTTTTGTCACATATTAAAAAAAAAAAATTAAAAATTTATTGTTACAAAAAGGCCTGAAAAGATACTTAGATTTATTTAAAACTTCTGGAAATTTCCTGAACTTAATTTATGCGCTCACAAAATATGTTGTTGTCAATTCTGAAATACAAATTCTATAAAATTTTAATTATTGAATAACAAAATTTTTATAAGAATGAGTGATTCCTTGCAGTTTATTACCGAATTAACAAATATTGCAAAAAAAAATTACATACAAAATGTGAACTTATTTTCAACCCTTTTCGGGGAATATCAGCAAATTTGCCATGACAGGCGTTCAATGATGTGTGTGTGTTGGAGCGATGAAGGAGAGCGCAAAAGCCCTTGCATAAACAAAGAAAATTGGAAACAATTTTTGTTGATGGTGCGGTCGGCACTGCACAGCGAGAGCAAACAATAACTGGGCCACCGCGCCTGACAGAGAATTTCGCTCTCGAGATGTGTTTTTAAGAGGACGCGGTGGCGGCGTTGTGTTGTTTTTGCCCCTCGCATGGCTGTGTTTTTGTTTGTCCACCACCTCGGGAGGCAGAGCAGCCTCATCCCTCTCTCCGCTATATGTGATATGTTTTGCCGGCGAGGACGTGGAGTAAATAGCAAGAAGTGAAAGCCACCGAGAGCGCTTGGTCCACCAACAGCTTCACTCAATCGCCACAGGCAAAGATTTGTTTGCTGTTTTTATTTTTGCTCCGAGATGAAGGCGAAAAGTGCTTCTCGGTAATACATTCGATCCCTATGCCTTTTTTCTAATATAAATTCACATTCCCAAAAACAATTGATAATTGCAATTTTAGTAAATTATAATCTTCTATGGGTTTAAACAAATTGAACAAAAAAGAAAAGGCTCTTGAATTATAGTCTTGCCAGACAAAACTTAATTACTGGTAAAGGATTTGATAACAATATATTAATTTTCATAATGATTATACATACAATATAATATACATTCTTGTTAATATAATTAAATTATTTTAAAATTAAAAAGGTTAAATTTGCAAATAAAAAATATTTTTGTAGAAATATTATTTAAACGTTAAAAAATTAAAACGCAAGTTAAAAAAAATATTCAATAATTTATATTTATATTTGCATTTAACTTTTTTTAATTTTTCTTTAATTTTAGACGTTTCCTGCACTACGAATAATCAAGTGTTGTTGTTTATACCGAATGCATAACGCACGAGCGCTTCACCTATTTATGCTGGAAGGAGTTGGTCGGTTGCATACATTCAAGGGGGAAACCGTGTCATAAACAGCCGGCGAATAATACAAAGAATATGGGCGTTTCTTCTTTTTTTTCTCGCTGAAGGTGTCGAGAAGGAAAATAAAATTCATGGCTAATAAAATAATGACTTTATGGCACTGGGCAAATTGGGGTGGCAGAAAAACAGAGTGTTTGATATCAAATAAATTATCTGTTAAGGCGCGTGCCTTCTTCATTCTTTTTTTAATTCCACGACTTCTTCAGCACCTGGCATTTGTCACCCTCTAATTAATATTAAAAAAGAACAGACGGGCGGGCGGCAAAGTGAAAAGGAAAAGACGAGGAAGAAGTTTTATGAAAAAAACATCAGCGCGGAGAACGTTGCGAGAGATGAAAAATTAGCTTCATTTCTAATTATAACGAAAAGGGCGAGCAAACGAGCATATCTTAATTTCCCTCCAAAAGAATGAAAGGAGAGAGAAAGAGAGTTCAGATCATCTATCACTAATAATGAAAAGTCTCAAAAGTTAATATATAAGTGGCGCTCGGATAAAAATTCACCCTCGCGGAAAATTATTATTTGCGCGCCGGTGGAAGTTTTGCCGAAACTTTCTTTCTTTCCTTCTTTATTGTTCGTTTGATCGGCGGCACAGCCTGCCCTCCTCCCGCCAACAAACGTCATACAAAATACAAAATCCTCATCAGAATTCTCAAAGCTTCAATTTCTCATTTTTTTATCTGCCGAACATCTGGCTCGGGGAGTTCGTTCAATTAAGACTGAACGGGAGAGTTCTCTGCTGACGATTATTTTTCCTCCCCGACTCAATACGATGCAAATCAGTAGTTATGCAACCTGCCAGGCGCGCCGATCGTGCCGGTTGCGTTATTTTTTTATGGAAATCAAACGGATGCGAACAATAAGAGCGAGATCGAATAAAATTGGAAAAAATTTAATATTCCTACCTGGTCAGCGTCGTCGAAGTCAGGGGAGCCGTTGGGGGTCGTGCACGCAGATGGTCTCTGAGAGGTTGACAAATTGATGGCACCATCGTTGTCATGATCCATTATTCCATCCTCCTGCAAAACAAATTTGAACGTTTTTAGAACAGATTGCAAATTTTGAATGTTGTAAAAATAAAATTACACATTTTATTATAAATTTATTAGCATGTTTAAAAATAAATTTTAATTAATATTTTAGAAGTATTTACTTCATTTATTAAATTATTATTACCTATTTAATAATTTTGCTATCATTGTGTTGATTCATTCCCAATCTTCTTGTGTTTTTCTGCGATAGTTTTAATGTTAAAAAGAAAAAATAAATAATTTAATACGTCTTTTGTGTCTGTATTAAAAAGAAGTCGTTTGGAAAAATTGTAGGATCATGCGATAGAGTCCGCTTGATGTTCATATGTCGATAATAGATTATAATTTACTGGAAATGATATCTGCTTAATATGTATTTATCTTCAACTTCTTACTATTACTATTGCAATAAAGTAGTTTTATTATCACTAAAAAAAAATTGAAGAGCATATTATTAATTTTACTTTGGAAAATTGACAGTTTTCAATCCTCCCTCCGATTGAAATTTGATTTGCAAGTGTATACAAACAGAGAATAAAACTCTATACTCGCATTCATCAGCAGATAAAAATCCATGAAAAACAAATTAAAACACACACCAGTCGGTCGGTCGGTGCGACAAACAAAAATGAGAGAGTGAAAGGCCATTCATTAAACGCCATCCATTATATTCGACTGGCAAAACAAAGGACACACGTGCATGCGTCCATGTATATTATTCGATGGCCGAAAAATAATATTGACCCTGATGTTATAGCGGCAGCATAAAAGTTTTGAAAAGAGGCATATTTGCTCGGACCGCTGGGCGTGTTTGCCGAAAATAAAAACTTTTAATAAATTATCGTTTCCGATTAAACACGGAGGCCATTGTTGGCCGGTCCGAGTGACGAGGGGTGCAAAAGTTACCAATCACTCTGCGGATTTGTTTAAAAAGATGCGGCCATTTATAACTGCCCGGTCTCGGGGAAAAAGTATAAAAAGGAGAGAAATAAAGTGGCCGGCTTTTATCTCCTTTGTGCGTATTTTTTTCCAGGAGGGGGCAGGCTAATCATGCGAGAGCCGACAGCAGGTTTAATCTTAAAAAAGAGACGAGAGCAGTGTGTGTGTACCGGTGACTAATAACGGCGACAAAACAGCTCCGCTGGCCGGATGTTATCAGCCGACGGAATGAAAGGAAAGGGAGAATTAAGTGACACCTCTCTTGCTCACACCCTCGCCATGGCCAGACGGCTATTTTCTATTTTCGATTGTGCTTTTCGTTCTCCTTCTATTTCGCAGGCTGATCAAATCGCTGCCCCTCTTTTGCGCTGCTTAATCTTAAACAAGGCACACGTCTTTGTTTCATGACAAGGGCGTGATTATTTCCTGTCCCTTTTCGGCTGACCTCTCGCCTTTGTTTGCACAAACGGAAAGAGAGACGGAGAAGATACTTGCTTTGGGCCCTTCGAAAATGTCAAAGATGTGCAAAGTGACTCGTTAATCTTCTTTTATTTAAATTCTTAAATTTCAAAATAAAATCGCTTTGTTAAAATAGGGGATTTTTGGATTACCAAATTTCGTGTTTTAGTTTTAATTTGAGTGAAAATTGCTTAAATTTGCTTTCTTAGTTTTTAAAGTGGGTGATTTAAGGTGACGTTTATATATTTTGATATAAAAAATGTATGAAAATCAGGAAAAAAATTAAAATAATAGCCTTTTAAAGGTTAAAAGAGGTTGTTATTTACCTGTAGGTGATTTATTTATATTTTTCATGATCTAGAACCTGAATTTTATCTTGAATAAGGTATATTATGCCTATTTAGTACATTTTAGCTCGGTTCAAACAAATCATTTAATATTTTTGATAAAATTTAATAATTCCATTTTACAAGACATTGGCTTATTGAAAATTGAGAAAAATTTAAAAAAAAAAATGGCACATGCATTGATTTTGTTATTAATTTAAAAGTTTTAATAGCAAAATTTAAAAGTAATTTGGGAAGTTTCAATTTTTTGCTGTTTAGAAAACTGAACTTTAGTAGATTTCTAGGGGCAGAAACTGAAACGAAATTCGGCAATCAAGTTCAAATCACCCCCTTTTTTATTCCCACTTCGCTCTTTTTCACTTTCGGAACTTGCTTCACTCTCCACCATCAGGACACAATTTACCAACACAGAGGAGAAGTGAAATCGTCAAAGTTCATCTGTTTGACGGCTCGTGATAATTGGAGTCTCTACTTTCTTTCTTTACTTCCGCCTCATCCCTCCCTTTTCTTTTTCTTCAGCTTTATTTTTCTTGCCTTTGTCTTTGGCCGTTGAAATATGCCCCCCTTTGATTTGGAGTTTGCTTTTTCTTTCCCTTATTGTCTCTCGCCGCCTGCCACGCGTTGATTATTCACAGACGCAATAAAATGTAAAAGACAAAAATCGGCGCAGGGGTGGAAATTATCCGCACCCCCGCTCAGATTGACTATGCTTTTTTTTTTTTTTTTTTTTCAAAAATCGTCCTGAAAAGCGATCCTTCTTTTTATTTCCTGTATGAAAAATGGAGAGCTGCGAAATCCATTAGAGGAATAAAAATTGTCGGAATGAATGGCTGACCGTCCGAGTGTGTCTATTTTTCTGTACTCTATTCTCGGCGCGCATACACCGTGTGAACCTTGCGGCCCCAGTATCATCTGCAATGTGCCGAGTCATGCTGTTTTGCAGCTCATAATTTATTAACAGAGACGGAAGAGTGACCACTTTATTTGAAATTCCGATCTGCTGTACTGCGCGTCAGACTACTTCTAGTTGCCAACGCATTGTGAAAGAAATTGAGTGGCTGATCTGTTAAAAACAATTATATAAACTTTGCTCTTGATAATAATTATAAGATATTCAGATAGTTTGATTAATCAAAAATCTTTTCTAGTAATATTCTCTGATTTAATCAAGCAAAATTGTGACAAAAACCATTGTGAAAGTTCTTATTTTCATAACGGAAACTGAATTTGATTAAAAAAAAATACTGACATTGCACCAGAAAATTCTAAATCCAATATAATGTTTTAACAATTTTAACTTTACAAACATTTTATATTTATGCATAAATAAATTGAATATATTTTTAAATTTATTATTTTTTTCTATTTACTGATTATATGTTGGCTTTTTACAATTGTATTTTATTTGTTTATAGAATTTTTTTAGTGTGGCTATAGAAAGGTAATCTTTTCTCTAAAAAGGCTTTAAAATTAAGTTTTTGCTAATTATTAAAATAAAAAATTCTCGGTTTAGATATGAATAACTAATGGGTCTGAATTTAGATTCATTAAAACATACGAATAAACTTGTATTAAGTAATTATTAATAAGACACGAGGATATATATAAAAAATTGCGAATAGAGATGAAAAACCAAACTAATAATAAATCTCTTCCTTTTCCTGTTGTGAAAAATTGCACCGAAATCCTTCGTTTAATTCCTGATCGAGGAGCACCACCGTTGAATCGTAATTAGATAAAATATTTTACGCGCCTGACGCGTCGTGGGGATTCTTTTTCCTGGCTTCTTCTTCTTTTCCTCTTTTTTTCGAGAGCAAACGACTCCGTGGAGGAATCGCCGCCGATTTCGTGCGAGCTCTCAAAGAGAAAAACGCCGCAATAATGACTCTTTCATGCATTCTTTATTCGAGAGTGGCGGGTGCGCGCGCGGGAGCGAGAGATGGATAGATAGGTCTTTATTGTATAAATTACTCGAGATAAAACGAGACGAGACGGCAGCGCGGATATGAGGAGAAAAAAGCGGCAGAGTAAATAAATGATAATTTGAATACTGGCGTAGCGGAAAAAAGCAGCAGCGGAGTTTTTTTTTTATTTCTCGAGTGTCTTGGAGAGGAAAAGCCGCAGCCCTTAAACTGCAGCGCATTATATTATTGACACCTTTTAAATAAGCAGATTACAAAGGCGGCGCCGCGGAATTCGAGAAAAGAGAAAGAAAGAAAGCAATCAGGCCCCGCGCTGATCCTTGCTGCGTGCAGGGGAAAATTGCCGCTTGATCGTTTTATTAGAATTTTCTTTGTCATGCAGGGAGTGGAATTTTTACTCCCGGTGGGATTGAGCCGGGAAATAAAGGAAAGGGGAAGAATGCGATTGGAAAAAAGTCTCGCTGACTTTTAATGTGTACTCGCGAGAGCATCTTCGGTTAAATTAAAATGAATTTAAAAAAAAACGACCGAGTGAAAAAGCAATGCTAATTTCTCTTTGATTGTAAATTCCATTTTTAATAAAGAGAAAAAAAATTAAAATACTATTATGACTTAGCTTAGATTAAAAAATTGAATTTTATAATTTTAAATTTAAATCTAAAGCAGCTTGCGTGATAATAAATATTTGAAATGGTGATTTTCCGCGCTCAACAATTTTGATCGTATTTATACTACACATTTTAATCAATAAATTAATTTATTTTATACCTTTTTTCCCATAATTCTCAATTAAAACTGAATTGTTTCATTTATTTTATAATTAAAAAATTTTCTAAACAGCGATTCAGTTACTTTTACCATCTTTTCAGCACCTCACAGCTATTTCCAAAGCCGCTCAGCGATGCAAATTTGGAGATTTGAGTGTGGCACAAAGACGGAAATAAATATACATAGAAGCGCCCCAGCTCTCTCTCTCTCGTCTCGTTTGCTTATCAGTCGGAGCAATTTTCGATTGATGATGCGCTCTACTCCGCTCTTCATTTGTATGTAGAAGATTAAAGGATATTTCTCGCCCGCGCCTCTCTCTCTCTCTCTCTCCACGATAATACTCATCACGTATGCATGTGTGTGCCGCGGCTGCAAAGTGAGCTGCCTGCCCATCTCCAGCAGCACCGAATAAGAGACACACCGCGAGCCAGAAGCGCGCATATTTATCGTATCGATTTCATTTCCCTGCCGTCCTGGCTTTTGTTCAACGCGCGGCCTGCCAGGTTTGGCAAAATTAATCACAATCCGGCAGAAAAAGTGTGAAAATCATGCG